GAAGGTGTGAAAAGAATTATGGAAGAAAGACTATTTGACAAGTATGGTAAGGTCTATGGAAAATTAGACCTCCTATGAGAAGCAGCTCACTTACTCTAAAAGAGTTAGAAAGGCTTTGTCAAGTATGGTTTTGAAATGCAGGTGGCACGAGACATTAGTGTTTAATTGGTCATGTAATAGTCAAGTATTCTGAATGTATTAATGTTAGGAGAACATGTGCATTTAAGTTACAATCACTCTCAGGTTCTGAATATATGTGTTACTACAGGTAATCCTGCCTGATCTTGACCTAATTAGCAGGTGAGGCTGGGGATGTGCTAAACCAGTGTCTAGCTCCAACAATGGATTGCTTCCTAAAATATGCTGGAAACATGCCTCATCAAAATACTGAAGACACCCAGCTCTAACACCAAAGAAGTGATCAAAAGTCTTGAACATTACCTGGGTTCAGTAACAGGCTGGATGAAGGTGAACATGCTAAGTTTAAATGCAGAGAAAATGGGGGTGTTGTTGGTCAGCAGAAAGCCTGATCTGGGGTTTATCCTATTCTAGAAAGGGTCAGGCTCTCTTTGATCACATGATGTCCTTTATCTAATAGTGACAAGAAGTGTATTTGCATAATTATGCCTGCTCTGCCCCTTTCCATTCTGGTTCTGGCATGCCAACATCTTTTAGTTCTCTCACAGTAAGACTAATTCAATGGGCTCTTATCTAGGACTAACCCTGAAAACCATCTGGAAGTCTCTGTTGATACAAAATGTACCAACTAGGTAGATAACTGGTTCAAATAATTGTGACCATACTGGTTGCCCTTTGCTTTCCAGGTGCAATTCAAGTTGCTAATTTGAAACACTTGTATCCCTAAGCACCATCCAATGCAGTTTCTGTAACCCACAGAAAGATAATGAGCATGCAATAGAGCAGCGGTCCTCAAACTTTTTCAGTAGGGGGCCAGTTGAAAGGCTGTGGTGACCATCGTGGGTGCCTGGGGGTGCGGGCCAAAGATGTATGAACAACCTTTTTCTGGTATTACTCCCAAATTATGGAATGTGCTCTCTCAAGAATTATGATCGGTCCCTGCTTTCTTGGCTTTTAGGAGGGGTATAAAGATGTATCTTTTCAGTTAGCCTTTTAAAATGTAGTTTAATGCTGATATCATGATTTTACTCTGGTTAATGTTCTTTCTTTTATTGCTTTACACTTTTGTATACTGCCTTGGTGGCTTTTTAGAAATAAGTAATATCTAAATACTAATAATTCAATCAAATACATGTACAGATCTGTGATCATGCATCAAGGTATCAGCCTTATACTGTTCACTGACATCATGTACTGTCATATGCCTTTCGGGATCTTTTCAATGAGCATAAAGAAGTGGGGAAGTAAAAATTGAGATTGGTGCAGTCAAGAAGATTTATGCAAGATTTTAAGCTATTACTATAAAAACAGTTTTCTTAAAATCCACAATTCATTTACAGATTGATAACATAAATATAAGAATTTTCACAACCTTATCAAAAGCTGTAAGAAACTTTTTTTTCCTTTCAAAAATTTAAAAATGAATAAACTGGACTACAAGCTAGTCTGGAAGCAAATCTTCTCCTAATTCTTCATCAGCAAATTCATCTTCATCCATTTTTTTCCTTAGTGCAGTTTTTGGTCTCTCAGCCTGAGGCCCAAGTGGGTCCTGATAAGAAGCATCTAAGTTTTCAAACAGTAATAAAGAAAAAAGAGTAAACATGAATCTTTGTGAAGAACAGCAGCTCTTCCTCTTTGTTTAACAATTACGTAAGAACAGAACTATGCTTGACAGTCAGGAGTAGCCATATGCTCTAACCCAAACTCTATAACTCAGTGTGAAATCCTGCTAAACTGAATAAATCTTTGTATTAATGATGCTATGCCATCGCCTCTTCTCCATCAAGTAATAGAATTCCATCCTGTCTTGGTTCAAGTTTCCACTATTAGCCACAATTAATCCTCAAGCAGTCTACTTCTTGCTTTTCTCATAATACAAGGACATGTCTCTATCTGTTCATCTATCATATTGTAACAAAAGAATATGAAATTTAGACATCTGAAAGGGGCCATAGGACTGTTTGGAGGCCCCCCCCCCCAGTTGAAGACAGTGCTCCAACCTCAGAAGGGGGAATCAAAGATCTGACCTCCCTTTATTTATTTACTGAATTTCTGCGTTGCCCATTAGCCAATATGGCTTACCTCCCTTTCCTTTGCAGCTGAAAAGAACTGCCCTGGCTAGCCTCCCAAGTTGGACAGGAAGCTGCTTCTGGGTGGGGAGGGGAAAAGACTGAAAATGTCAGGATATAAACTATCTGAAGCTCCCCTGCCACCTCCCCCCCCCAAACACCTTCACTAGAGGGGCAAAAAAGCCCATCTGGAGAACAAGGCAGGGAAGAAAGATGAGAAGGCAAAGATTGCCTCTGCCTCTCCTCCCATCCTGTATAGGATGATCCTGCAACCTCCAAGTTAGGAAGTTTATAATCATTCATGATACAATCAATAGAACTGCACCCTGATTTTAATTAATTGAAATGTGCCTATGTGGTTGAAGCCTAACAATTTCAGTCTCTGATGGCAGACTCTCCCAACCAGTAAATACCTTTTTAGTCCACGCAGTTTTGGCTGTGGGACAATTAGAAACCTGCCCTTTTCCCTTTGTTGTGGAACAATCCCTCTTCAAGAGTATGGAGGGAAAGACCGTTCCATCAAAAGGAGTATAGAGCAGCCCATGCCTGGAAGTGTCAGCAGGACCCTTGCCTTCAGAGGCAAATGGTCAAGTGCCCAGCTTTGGCAGCCATGTATGTTAGTCTGATGCAGCAAAGCCTTCAAGCAAAGGGCTATTCCACCCAGAAAAGCTGGGTCTATTCACTATTATATATATACAAATGTATACATATTCTATATGGCACTTTGCAGGACCGACATGCGGATTGTTAGTGGAACTGCTTTTTTACTGGATGGTTTTTTAATACTGCACTTCATAAAGCTACTTAAAAATGTAAGTAGGACACCTCCCATCCAATCCTGTTCATATTTACAGTCACATGTTTCACTGAGTTAAACAGCACCCATTCCCAAGAAAATTTGCATAAGACTGTAACCTTAAATTAGAATGCACACTTCTTTCAAAGTAAATGTACACAGGATTGCACCGTCAGCGTAC